GGTGCACTCGATCCCCTCGTCCAGATCATTAATAAAGATATTGAACAGAACCAGCCCCAAAACTGAGCCCTGGGGAACACCGCTCATGACCGGCTGCCAACTGGATTGAACTCCATTCACCACAACGCTCCGGGCCCGGCCGTCCAGCCAGTTTTTTTACCCAGCAAAGAGTACGCCCGACCAAGCCATGAGCACCAGGACAGTCACATGAACCAGGACCTTCTCCTCCCCTTCTCAGCACCCTTGATGTTTAATGCTCAAGGAACCAGACGCAGAGCCTTCCCATACCTTCAAAATCCACATCTCCAACCAGCCTTGATTTGGCAGTGACAGGATCCTGCACTCTCGTTATCCCCACGTCAATAACTGCAGCTCCTTCTTTGATCATGTCAGCTGTGATCAGATTGGGTATGCCTGCAAGAAGAAAACAGAAACACATGCTCATGGTGGTGCTGGACAGCCCCCTGCTCCCTCTCACCCCATCTCCATGTTATGTTTTGACCCACCTGGGCCTTCCTACCTCACAAAAAACAGTTGGACTCGATAATCTTAAGGGTCTTTTCCAACCTAAATGATTCTATCATTCTGTGAAACGCAAGTCTACCCAGTCGCACAATCCAGCGCTACTCCTCGACGTTCAGCTCAGTCAGGAATTGGAGCTGTTTACTGATAACCTCGGAGTGTAAAGAACTGGAATCCCCCCCCCTCCCCGAGAGAGTTCCAGCAAAGCAGCTGGGACCAAAGCATCCTCTCTGAGTTGAAACCTTAAAGCTTGCATTTGAAGTCGGGGTTGTTCAGCCTGGAGAAAAGGAGGCTGAGGGGAGACCTCATCGCTCTCCACAACTACCTGAAAGGAGGTCGTAGCGAGGTGGGTGTTGGTCTCTTCTCCCAAGTAACAAGCGATAGGATGCTGCCCAGGGAAGTGGTGGAGTCCCCATCCCTGGAGGTATTTAAAAGACGAGTAGATGAGGCGCTCAGGGACATGGTTTAGTGGGTGGTGGTGTTGGGTCGACGGTTGGACTCGATCTTAGAGGTCTTTTCCAACCTCAATGATTCTGTGATTCTATGAAATCTGTGGCTGTGTTTGTTCGTGCAGCTCCAGCAACATTTCTGCACCTGCACCAAGTCAGCAAGCTGGAGCAGTGTCCGAGACCACCGCAACCCAGCTTGGCAGAGGCACTGGCTTCACCCAGGGGCTGTAAAACCTGCAGCGTGACAGGGGTGGGGAGCAGCTAAGCCGCCCTTTCAGGGTGGGGTGTGTTTGGTTCCTGCCAGATAGTGCTGCCTCAGTTGACTGAGCCGAGGAACTCATTCCCACCCTCCGCTTAGTTAACTCTTTCATGCGAGCCCTCCTCTGGTCTGCCGACCGCCTTTGGCGATTTACACATCTTATCTGCCAGCAGCACTTCTGCCATCATTACGTGCACTGATGCCTTCAACACCATTTCTAATCCTTCCAGCACCTTGTCTCTTCACACCCCATTTCTAACTGACGTTTTCTCTCCTCCCTCCCCACAGGCTTCACACCCGGCTTCTGCTGCCAAACAGACACCCCGAGTCAGCTCAACTCCTCTGCTGATGCGCTACCTCCATGCCAAGGGTACGGCCTGGAGAAGAGCACACCCCCAAGCGATTCCTTATGCTCTGAAGATGGCACTGCAGCTGTCCCTCAGCATTTTGACTGTTTCTAGGTAAGCAGATGCTATCTTGGTATTTTTTTTTTTCTCCTCCCCACATAAATACAGAACTGTCTGCATGTATAACAGAGCCCGTCTGTAGCTGTTCTCTAGATCTGATCAGGTGCTCGCTGGCGTACCAAGCCCTCCTGCCAGATGTTATTTTACATTTCAAAGGCAGAGCTACAAACAGCTCTGCTAGTAAGACCAAGTATGTGGCTCCTAGGCTTAATCGCAGGATAAACTGGCTGGCTCGAACAGCCCCTCACTCGCTGTCCTAGCCCTCACCTAGGGCAGCTGCCGACAGCCATGAGAGCACTGGCTCTCTCATGCTGCCAGAGCCGCTTCGGATAGGGAGGCCCCGGGACATTCAATACCAACAGGATTGTCTCCTGCAAGCAAGGATTCCCATCAGAAACACCACGCAAGCTGCAGCGCGGCACCCTCCCTGCGCCTTGCCTGTGCTGTTCAGAGTCGGGTCTTACCTGCTGCCGCTACCACAATATCAGCACGGATTGTGTGTTGCTTCAGCTGCTCCTTGGGAGTGTAGCGGTGGGATATCGTGACCGTGGCATCGCCTGCAAGAGCGGTTACATGGAGCTTTTTAGTTCACACGTACTACCCAAACCCAGCCACTTCCCTAAGTCCTTCCCCTTCAAAACCACCCGTGTATTTATCAGGAACATCAGAGCCCGATGACAAACCCTGGGGAACAGCCTACAAAGTCAGAGGGGAGGGATCTGGGATGGAGAAGAACAAGGACTCACTGAAGAAGGCTCCGAAATGTTACAAGACAGATTATGTGCAGAGTTAACTCTTTGGCCTTGACCACAGCCCACGTGATGGGCCAGAGTCCCTCAGGTGCTCCTGGGACTAATTTAGGAGCCTAAAGAGGACAGTGTGACAGGCTGAGGGCTTCCTTCCACAGCTGCCTGGCACGCAGGCTCCGAGGCCACCAAGCTCCTACCTCCCGGGCGCTCGTGCCTGCCGTCCGTATGCAGCAACATGGCGATAGGCATGCCCACATTCTTCGACCTGCCAGCCACCACCACGTTCTTCCCCAGCGTTGGGATGCCTGCAGAGGACAAGATGGGAGTCTTAAAACAAACACAAGCTGGAGTTATATCAGACAGCAGCCAAATACTGCAGCAGCAGCTTACCAGTTCTCTTAATGATCTCCCACACCCCCCACGGGGTAGCCGGCAGCATGGAGTACTGGTCGAGGCACATGCGCCCCACGTTTATCACATGAAAGCCATCAACGTCTTTGTCTGGAGTCACAGCGTTGCAAATCTTGCGCTCGTCAATATGTTCTGGAAGAGAACAAAAAGCTTTAACCCTAGGGATCAGCCAAAAACCTGCTCTTCGCAGCCAGCCAGAGCCCCGACCTGCTGCACCAGCCCCTTCAGAGTTTGGAAGCTTCAAGCTAACCCAAGACTTCCAGCAAGCTCAAGGCTAACAGCTGCCAGCAGGAGGGGACCGGAACCGCTTTGGGACTACAGCATCGCTGATGCTGAGAGGGTATTTTTAGGCAGCCTCAGCGTCACAACCGAGTTCGGGCTTCTGGCTCTGGAAGGTGATACCCCCTACAGGAGAAAAGATTTCTGCGACCCCCAGCAACTTAACTCGTACAGGCAGCTGTGCGATGGAGTAGCTGCATCAACTTCTTTAAGCTGCATCATGGCAGAGTGCCACCTCTCATGTCACAGGATAGCCCCTGTGCTGGTACTCCTTCTGGCACCCACAAACCCTTAAAAGCTTTACGTAAAAGTGGAACAGATGGAAATCTAGCTACTCACCAGGTAGAGGAAGCTGTACTAACAGGCCATCCACATTGGCATCGTTATTGAGTCTGCTGATCAAATCCAGTAGCTCCTCTTCAGTGATAGAAGCCGGCCTGAGGATGGTTTCACTGCTGATTCCTGCGCAATCATTGAAAGCGCTGCGTTAGAGAGCCACGTGTACACAAGCCGGAGAGCAACTTTCTTAAGCCCTGCGGATTTAAGCTGCCCCGTTTCATTGCTCTACCAAATCCAACAGGCACACACCAAGGACTGTATGCTTGGTGTAACAACGAGCACCTTCCAGGCTGGAGACCTTCCCAAGTCTTGCGAGTTACGGTTAAGGACCATTAGTATCGGTCTAACGACCTGGGAAAGACTATTTGAAAGCAGAGACCCTCCAAGTGGAAGGAGGGCTTGGAGAAACTTAACCGAAGCGTGCTACGATGAAGATGCAACCGCACGTCCTGTGGTCCCTCGACACAGTAAGAAGGGGACGTTAGCCTAAAACACTCAGCTCCAAAGGCGGCTTCGGCAGCATGGAACCCAAGGAGAAATTAAACCATTTATTGCCCCTAACCCCTTTCAGCACGTTTTCTCCAGAAGCACCCTTGGCTAAACACCGAGCAGGACCTCGGCTTGCAAGATTGGAAGGAGTCGGAGGGTAGCAAGGCTGCTGAGCGATGACTGCATCTCCGGCAATTGAGAAAAGGCGGCAAATCAGAGCCCTGTCTGTGCTTCACACGGCCCTAGGAAGGCTGCGAATCCAAACTACAGAGCTTGACGTTGCCCTAAAGGATTCAAATGGCACAATGCACACGTGGACCATGTTTATTAACTACCTCCCAGTACAACAGTGAAGGCAAGCGAAAGAGTCACAGCAAAGGCTGGGGCAAACGTGGACTGCCATGCAGCTGAGGTGAAAAGCTACCAGATGGATACATCCCAAAAAGCTTCCCCCAGCCTCCGGCGTAGAGGACTCCCAACTAAAGCAAGATAAAACAGTCACTTGCTCCACTTTTTTCAGAACAGAGCGCAAGACATACCAACGTCAGCAGCCGCTTTGGTTTTGTTCAGTACGTAGGAGTGACTCGCTGGATTTTCACCGACGAGAACAACGCTGAGGTGAGGTCTCTTGTTTCCAGCCGCTACCCACTGCTCAACCTCGTGACGGGCTTCCTGTCTGATCTGCCGGGCCAGCTTCCTTCCAGAAATCACAACTGCATCATTGCTGCAACAGATAAAGCGTTACCAAAGCAGTCAGCATCGTTGGGACCATCCAATTCAAGCTCTGTGCAACACAGACCAGGAAAAGTGGATGCCAGGGCAGAAAAGGCTCTTCTACAAGCTCTGTACAAGCCTATTGCACCTTTACTCCAAATCACGTGAAGCAGCATATTTCAGTCTTCTTTTACAGCTTCGCTGCCCAAAGCCGGGATCAGCAAACAAAACTGCCAGAGGGACCAACTTATTTGTGCAGCCTGAGAAAGCGTACGCGCTGTTCTTCTCTGCAAGGCCAGGAGTCCGCGTGTATCGTTCACCTGGCACGTGTTTCAAGCTAAGATACTATTAGCTTCCATTTTTAGAAAGCCAGTCACCCGTTCCTTGCGAAAGCATGACAGCTTCGCTACAAAGGACTTACACGAAGCAGAACTCACCCCACTTAAGTGGAGCTTCCGCCACCAAAGAGGTCTATCGGGTAATGCCGGCTTGTTGGATGCAGCGCGGGAGGCACAGCGTGCCCTGCTTCTGCACCGAGCGCTGTTCCCGGAGATCCTAGTCCCCCACAAATTCCTCGGCGAGGCCATCGGCCCATCTAGCACAGCGTGCACCTTGCGCGAGCCAGTCTCGTGCCCTCCCCTGCTCGAGTAATTGCTGCCACCGCTACGGTCGTGTCTTCAGGCTGTTAAAGCTGGGCTGGGGGCACACGGTTTCACCCCCTCTCACGGACTCCAACATCTAGCTGGAGTAGAAGGGACATTTGCCCCTTCGAACCACATCAAAACAGCTCCTCGCATACATTTCTGGTCTAAATCGGTAACGGGAGTATCCAGTCACTGCCAAAGGCATTCCAGGCAACTGGACACCCTGCAGTATATAGAAAGGCTGGCTTGACCTACAGCTAGCTGGGAGGCCACGGCTGCCAGTCCCCGCTCACACCAGGCTGTCCACACTCCTCACACTTGGCTTTTTTTTTTCCTTTCAGGTTATCACTACAACTCTTATTTGAACGTCATTCTTATTCACTAATCCCTTTGCGAGAGGATTCACCTTCACAAGCTTCACTTCTAGATTTCACTACAGCATTTAAGTCTTGCCCTGCCGCAAGGCCTCACGACGAGCGCCTTATTCACTTGCCCAATTATTCTTGCCTCTGAGCCGGAGCAGGCAAAGGTGCTCCCCGCAGCGTTACTGTCATTTATGGTGCCTTCCCGAATCGCAAGGACCAGCCCATTCCCGAAGCAATCACCGAGCAACATGCATCACAACTCCACAAGCTACTCAACTTGCCACAGGAATCCAGGAGACGACCGAGCCACGGGAGAAAGCCCCCCAGCACCCAGCGCAGTTTCCAACCCTCCCTGCACCACACCGTCCAACAGGAGCAAGCTGAATTGCTGCAGTTTCTCCTCAAAAAAAATCCATCAGCTGCCTCGTATGCAGACCTTCTCCTACCAGGATCCCGCGTTAAGTCCAACGCTGCTGTTTTCTGACCTTCTCTAGGTATAATGCTGATCCTGGAGCTCTGGGGACAGCTGCCACCGGGGAGAGCCACCAGGAGAGCCGCTCCAGACCCACACAGGACAGCCACAAGGTACCATCCCAGGTAGGAAAGCCTTTTGCCTAAATACTTAGAGACGCAGAGGATCTTTTGCGCTTTCTTAATCCCTGACCTACTCAAATACGTAGTTTTCCCCATTTACTGGGAATTCAATGTTACTTCATCCCTAACAGCAATCGCTCCAGTCAAACCCATTTAGCAATAACCAGTAAAAACCCATCCCAGACCAGCTCAGCCCACTCGCCCTCTAATTCTTGTTTTAGCTTCAGAGCTAGACCTGCACTAAACTACCGTACATCCACTTAGATGTCAAAGGAATCATTACAAGTGCCTGGCAAGCTAGGGAAAGGAGACTTCGTTAAATCAGAGACACCTCGTGCCAGGAACCTACCCGAATCTTTCCCCTTACGTAAGCCTGAGACCGGGGTGCCCGGCCTGGGCTCCCAAGGGATGGCAACAACCACCACCAAGCCCCCCCGTGAGCTACAGGGAAGCCGAAATAAGAGCTCGGAGCCCTGTTTAGAGTAGGGAACAGCAGTGAAACCAAAGCACCCGAGCAGCAGCAGCTCCCTCAAGGGCTGTTTCGGTGCATCAGAGCAAAATCCACGGGAGGTGGTGCAGAAACGGAAGGGGAGAGTCAGTTGGTGCACGGGCTGAGCCCCGGGCGGGATGGGGGGGGGTGTCTCTGGTCGTTCTCGCACCCTTTAAAACCGGGGTGAGCCCAGGGCTTGGGGCCCGAGAGGCCCCTCCCGGGGTGCGGGGAGGGCTCGGTAGACCCGGTGACCCCCTGCCCGGGGAAAGGGGGGGAGCCCGGCACACGCCATGCAAGGCGTGAGCGGGATTTCATCAGCCTGC